TTTTTTTTTTTTCTCCTTCCCTTTAGCATCCTCATCCCACACCCCACTGCCAGTGGTCAGATAATGACAGCAGCAGCTCACCCAGGGTCTCTGCAGGTCCCTCCCAGCTCACTGGCTGCTCCTCTACCCCTTACTGTGTAGCCTTCATCTTCCTAGCCTCTGCCTAGCTTACTGATGGCCTTGGGGCTCTCTGGCCTGCATGCCACAGCATCATTTCAGGATTTACCACCACCTGGCATACTGTGAATGCATGCAGCCATTGTACACACTGTGTACTATCTAGAATTCAAAGACAGTGGTGGGGTGGAGGCCTGGCACAGAGGGAAATACATGTTGAAGTAACACATGGATCAGAAAACAACTTCATACAGATCAAGTCACTTTGCCCAGTGCCACACGGCTGGGAAGGAAGGCTGAGAACCCAATGCCTCTGGTTCCCGGACACCCTGGTGTCTGAATCACCACCTCCACGCCCCACTCCCTGGTCAGATACCCCTCCCTGCTCTTAGCTCCATAAGAAATGATCGACCCTTGCTGTCAATTATTCCCTACCTCCCACCCAGATAGTGTCACCAAGAGGCCCTGGGAGGATCTAGTGATTCCACTAGCCCAATGTATGCACTTTCTTAACTTGCTGAGGAAGAAGATGGCCATGTTCTGCATGGGCCACAAGGAAGCCTCCTTCTGCAGGACTCTTCCGAAACCTAGCCTGGCAGCCCACTGAAGATGGGCGGGTGAGCCAGCTCTACCTGTCTTTAGATTTGGAATCTAGGTCACTCTCTCTGCTGTTCCTCCCTCCTCCCTTAGAAGATAAGCAGGATCTTTCCTAGGGTCTCCTAGTGAGGCGACAATAAGGGCAACTCTTCCATGAAACCCACACCCTTCCTGGGGCTGTCAGGAGCACTTCATTTTGGAGCCAATATAATTTATGAGATGCAAATGGATTTAGCATTTAAAAGGGGTGGGGGGGATGACTTGAAAAAGGAACAAAGTGCATTTTACACCCTATGCTGAGGCGTGTTTGGGGCTCCATTAATCATCTCAGACTAAAGAGATTTAATCTCCGGCCAGGCAGGCTGAAGAGTGCCTGCACCTCTCACCCAGCCCAGGGCACAGTGGGTGCTGAATGCTAGCCTGGCCTCCTCGAAGGCTTCAGGTGGGGTTGCACAGCACTTGTGCTCAGCTCTTTTCTGAGTCACACAGTGGATGAAATTACAGAGGTTTCTGCACATGGTGAATCAGAAAGCAGGATCAAGCCAAATATTTGGACAAGCCTTGCCCTGCAGGGCTAGGGAGCAGGCTGAAGACCCTGCAGCCAGCATGCAGCCTGCCAGGCGCAAGCCTGGAGATTGCTTCTGACAAAGTGCTGCTGCAGGGCTGACTGTTGCTTGGGAGGGAGGGAATTAGCTCAGATCCAGAAAAGCAGGTTGCAGTCATATCTCCTGGCCAGTGCTGGGGAAAGAGGCTGTAAGCATCTCAGGGCTCTGAGCTGTGCTTCGGTGTAGTACTAGGTGGAAGGGGCTTGCCAGGGTGCAGGCTGAGAAGCGTGGGTTGGGAGGTGATGGCTCTCATTGAGACAGCATCCTATCTGCTTTCTCTTTCTGGAAGCCCTTGGGGTGGCAGGCATGCCTGCCCAGGCCTAGTGGGAGATACACAGAGACAGTGACCACAAAATCCAAAGTGGGGCAACTCAGTTCGTTCCTAAGACTTATCTACTGTGATGGCTTCCACCAGAAACCCTAACTGCTACCCTTTGGAGCTTCAATGTTACTTTTTAAAAAGACTGTTTGGAACAATAAAACCATTAATAAAAATGCTACCTTAAGCCTGTCTGGAATCCTTAAAACAAAACAAAACTTACCTTTGAAACAGCCCAATATCCTCAGGTTTATTTTAAATGATTTCTCCCCTTGTAAGGAAGCTTCCAGGTAGACAAGTCATCTGCAGTGAAGAAAGCGAATGGACCACCTCTTGGTGCAGATGACACCTACTTGTGGACTGACTATATGCTGGGTTGTCTCCTACTTGATGTTTCACCTGATAATGTCTTGACTAGGCTCCTGAGGACCTCTGGCTGCTCCTATTTTCTCATTTTGCAGATGAATAAACAGTCTTGGGAGGTTATGCAACACTCTAAGGTCACATGACTAGCAAGTATACAGCTAGAATTTAAACTTAGGCAACCAGACACCAGCTTATATTATGCCTCCCAGCAGCAGCTCTGATGTTATTTGAACCCAACGGCAAAATAACCATGGGAACCAGCTCAAGCAAAACCTACAGTTTCTAGACCTTTCTAAGTGTTCAGACCTAGAAGGGAGTTAGCTCAGATCCAGAAAAGTAGGCTGCCTGTTCAGGATCCTGGCCCATACTTCAAGCTCAGAGAAGGTCTACAAGGGAGATGGTTTCCCTCGACACAAAGTGGTCCTCAAGAGTCTAACCTGTTTGTGCCAACCCTGCTTCCTCAGCGACAAGACTCAGCAAAGATCTTATCTGGAACCTTCTGAGACAGAAGGATGGCTGAGCCTGCACTAGGGAATGGAAAGAAGGCTGTTCTGGAGATGGAGAAGCTGGGCTCAGACTTAGCTTTGGACATCATTAGCTGTTGAGCACACACTTCTTGCTTCAGAAAGCCTCTCAACATGATGGGGTGAGACACCTGTTTATAATGTTTGCAGATCATGTAGGAGCTACTTGCAGCATAGTGCCTGGGCCTCATTTGTGGCATTTGCAATTGGATGAATAGTGACTTGACAACTGGGGCTGGAACTATTTGCAGACAGCTTGGCTCAGATGTCTAGGGGGTGGTCCTGAGTATTCAGCTGGTTCAAATAGAAACAAATTATGATACGTAAATATAAAGCATGTTTACATATTATATATTATAATATAAACAAAAAATATATATAAACAAATAAATTATATTTGTTTTATAGGGTTGCTTAACAAAGCATCACAAACCACATGGAATCATAGAATGAGGTGTCTCATTGTTCCCAAGCAGCTGGGATCCTTCTGTCATTGCTTAGAAGGAGGCTATTCAGAAAACCCCCAGACAAGCAATGGATTGTAGCACAATGAAAAAGAAACACTTTCACATACTGAGCTACTAAGATTTGGGGTTTATTTGTTACTGCAGCAGTTACTCATCTATCCTGACTATAACAATCATTCAGTACTGGTTTCCACTGAGATATATAATGTTCAGCGTTAGCTACCAACATACATTTCAATTGGCATTTGTTGAAACCACAGAACTTGCTGTTGTCAGTGTCTATGAGACTGAGCATATCCTCATGTAGCTGCCAGTTTGCACAGCACATCTGGCCACTGGTGACTGTGTCTTCTTGTTGTGTGGTAATGAACCACTACCTTGGCTCAGTGTCTTCCATGTTCTACTCATGCCATACTCATCTCAGGGGAACAGACAGTGTGGGCTCTCCTCCCAATGTCTGCAGGGTCATAGGAGACTCTGATGAGGCTGCACCATTCTGCTTAACTTGCACCCAGGTCTCTTTTCAAGGCTTCCCTATCAGGCATCTGTTGAAAATTTCTCCTGCTTTTCAGTTTCCCCAAACTCATCTAGAGGATTCTTTCTTTTCCTTAAAACCTGACCCATTTTGTCAGGATAGAGAATAGCAGCCTTCTGTCAGCCATCTCTTCTCCCTGGGCCTTGGAAAGCTGGGTTTGTCTTTAGGGTACACTGCCCCCAGCTTTTTTGATTTTTGTTTTTGAGATAGGGATTTTTCTGTGTAGCCCTGGCTGTCCTGGAACTCAATCTATAGACCAAGCTGACCTCAAACTCACAGAGATTAACCTGCCTCTGCCTCCCAAGTACTGAGATTCAAGGTGTGCACTACCACCGTCCGGCTCCTTTTCTCATTTCTTTGGGAAATAAACCTTATGCCCTAACTTATGTAGTTTTCTCTCTCAAAAAGTCTTATTTTTGTACAGAAAAAAGCCCAGATTCCTAAGATTACTTTTCTGTTATGTTTTAAAAGTGGATGTTGAAAATCCAAAGTCAAAAGTTGGAGTCACTGGTCTATGTTTATATTTTTGCATCTTATCATTTACAGGGAAAGGAGACTTGGGGTCAGATTAAGCCCTAGTAGAACTCAACAGGGCTGCAACAAGGGAAGATACCAGTCTGTCACCATGATGTCTGAAGTAGCACCCATTTGAGGTGGCTCAAGAGTGGCCTCCGTGTGGCTTCACGGAAACCTTAGTGTTTTGGAGCTCAGTTTTATGTTAGTAGCTGATGGGAGAACTGCTCAAGACAAGACTGGCTTCATTGGGGAAAACACATTTTTAAGCAAATTAGGACAAGGAGAGATACTGAAGGGTGTACTCAAACCACATGAGATTGTTGCCCCAGAAAGGGGATTGAGGATTTCCCAATGGAGAAAGCCAGACTCTGGTGGAGAGTCAAGGTCCTTGGCTCTTGTGTGTGTGGCGGGGGGGGAGGGGGGGAGGACTAAAGCAGGGCAAGGCAGTAGGCACCTTGGAGAAGAATCGTTTGCCAGGTGAAAATAACACGCACTGTACAATGGCCCTTTGCCAGGCACAATTGAAGCCTGGATGAGCCATAAAATGCCTGGGTAGAGTGGGCTTCTTGTGGCAACACTGGAGATTGCAGAACTTGTAATCCCTGCTTAGATGAAGCCAAAATGGTCCAATGGGTGGCATACTTGGCCCCTGGAACATGTGGAGCACACCGAAAAGTTGCTGAATCTGAAGGCATACTGGATTGGAGGAGAGCCGGAGCAGAGACAATCAGAGTCTAGATGAATGGGATTTTATTTTGCATTTTAATTCTAGGTTATTTCAACACAATCCTTCCACTTTACACAAGTGCAAACACAACCTTATCTAAAACGCTACCGAGTTATAAAACACAAAACAAATTTTATAGTACTGACTGCACAATGAAAGCCAAAAGAAGCAGAGAGTAAATGCCAAGGTTAATCTGCAACATCACCATGAATAGCAGGCGACAGTAGGGGTGGGGTAGGCTCCACCAGGATCCTGTAGAAAACTGGCTCACCAATTTCAGAGAGTAACAGAGACAAGGGGAGAGGAAAAGACAACACTTTATGGGGTGGAGGAACCCTTCAAAGGTGTTTAACCCTAGAAGTTGAAGAGGACTCCTCAGGGAACATGGTCAGACCTAACAGCACAGCAGCTTGGTCTCCTTTCCACAGATATGGCACAGCAACCGCAAGGGCATGACCAGTTTGCCTGCCGGTCATCGGTGGAAAACTATGTGTTGCCATATGGCGACTTGTTTGCCCCATCTGGCTCTGCTACCAACAAGACTCAAGAACTGGAAGGGGGTGAACTTTCTAGGCAGAAAACTACAGGGCAGTCCTGAATCAACAGTACCTCTGTAGCCAGACTCCTCCTGTAGAGGAAATAATCTCAACTGCTCTCTTCAAAGCCTGCCCTGGTAAGGGATCCTCCCTTCCAGATCCTCATTTGGCTAGAGAAAGTACAAAACTGAGCCAGGGAACATAAGTTATAGAGATACACATCGATGTCCCTGCTTGTGGGAAGGAGTTAGAGCTGGGGTGGCTCCTGTGGGGAGATCGGGAGATGGAGACCTCCTCCGAATGGGGGACCTGTACCTTAGGGAATAAGACTTCATCATGGTTGTGAATGACCTGTGCCACATGGGAGGTGGTGGAAGCATTCTCCTGGGTGAGTGGAATCACAGACGGAGTGGCGGAGCCTGGGGGCCAACACAGCAGTAGCCGTGCTCTCTTGGCCATCAGTTGCCCTCCATCTACGTGTTTCAGTGACTTCTCTGCTTCATCTGGAATCTCAAATTCCACATATGCATAGCCTTTAGATAGATGAGGATGCATCCTTTCTACAGGCATGCCAATCACTTATTTTCCCATAAGTAGAAAAGATTTCCATGATACGATCCTTGATCATTCTTGATAGGCCTTCCCATGTGCACTTTGGGGGGTTTAGGTGAAGGGCCCTACCCTTTCCTCTCCCTTTCATCTCTTTCAGGTGGAGCCAGGACATTGCCTGTTGTCATGCTTGTAGTGAGAAGGGCTCAGGGAGCCTGAGGAGCTGCTAGAACTGGAGCTTCGGGATGTGTGGGAACTTCCTGTATAATGGATATAGAGAAGGAGCTGGAGCCACTGCTTGAGCCTATGCTGGTATTGGAGCTGTAGCTGGAGGTTGAACTGGACCAAGACATCTTCCCAAGGCTGTTACCACCTCTAGCTCCTCTCAGACCCAGATACCAGTACAATCAGGATGAATGGAATTAACCTCTAGCTCACCAGTATAGTATCTAATCCATTAGAGCAAACTCATAGCATAGATGATATAATTCTCCCAGGCTATACCCATAGCAGACATTGCCAATAGATTGCTAGTCTTTCCCATGGAGGTCAGACTCTGAATCCTTCTCAACATTGCTTTCCAGGCAGCCACAACCATGGAACATTGGTTGAGATTAAACTAACCTTCCTTGGCCTTCACTAGAATGTCATGGACAGACCACCCATGAGCTAGAGATAGCCTGGAGTTAACAGTGTGTTGTTTGTTTTGTGTTTTCCTCACCAAAAGTTTTAAAAGGTTTGACATTTTAAATTGGGAATGTTAAGCATCCCGATGCCCAGCTGCTCTTGAAATATCGGGGTGCCTGATGCATCACAGTTGTATTCCATGTTGCCCTTGCAGGCATTTGGGGTTGGTTCTCATATCTGCCTTTCTGCCTGAGCCAGCTGAACACAGCAGGAGCTCCCCGAAGTCTGCCTGAGTTAGGACCCCACTTCTGCCACATATGTGTCATGTGGTTTTTAAAACACCCATGTCTCTTTCCCGGACCTTAAGCTTGCTTCTCTGTACACGTGGATATGATAGAACTTACTTCCTGAGCAGATGCAAAGATTACATTAATCAGAGCAGGAATCGTCTGAGTAGAACTAGCAAGGTTTGTTTCCATAAACATTCAAAACACTCCTCAAGAACAACGCTCTAAGTCCTGCCTCACAGGTAAGAGAATGAGGCATGGAAGCCACAGGCAGTGTCTCCTAGGATCCAGACAGGCCCAGGCACAGCATAGTCCTTGCTG